TCTACGTTCTTCCGGCACATACTCAACTCTTTGAACGGAGCGCCAATCACGCCTTCCCTTTCATAAACAATAAATCGACCGCGCCTCTTTCACTCTCGCAGGCGCCGGGCTCCCCACTCTTACCCCGCGCTCTTGCCGCCTCACCTCCGCAGCCCGGGGCGAAGAGGTTGCCTCCCGCCTCCGTGCCCCCGCCATCCGCCCGCAGCTTTCGTCGCCGCGCCCACGCCGCCGCGCGTCGCGGGTCGCGGGTCGCACGTGCTCGGGGTTCTGAACGCGAGCCACCCGCGCTTTTACGATCGGGGGTCGCGAGGCCCGGCGCTCTAAAAAGGGAGGGCCAAATGCGTGTTGCTCTTTTATGACTGAATGCGATGTGATACTCCAGTTTATTTGATTTAAGAGCGCCGTTAGTCTGACAGATGGTGATGCAGGTTGTGGAAGGTGTAGAAAAGGTAAATGTGTTAAGAGTTTTCTCGTGGCTTGTGGAATGACTACGTACGTACAGTTTTAATTGTATGGTTTTCGTGCATTCCGGAAATGCTGAACTAGCCATTAAAATAATTTCGTTCTTGTAACTGAGCCGGACCCCTTACAAAGTTCATGCAAATGTCGCATTTACATGCCCTTCAGTGTGACGTGCACTATATTTCCATAGAAGACAATATATGTTTTAGGAAACATTATTAGAGTCAATGGTTATAACCATAATAACTACGAGCGTGAATACAAAATGAAACGTCGTTCTCTATCTCGGAAACTGACTCAGAATTTTTCAAAAAATGCTTTCCAGTAAAGAGTCTAAATCACGGGGTAACAAAAAGGAAATGCTTCATATTCTGGAATGACGATGCGCTGTAGGGAAATAGGAAAGACCCATTGCGACCCGGACATTCGCGCTATCCAACCGTGAAGCTCAAGCCGATCAATACAAAAAGTGTCTGTGGTTGACGGTAGGTTGGGGTTTGGAGAACAATTATCTTACGTATCACGCACAAACTCTCCAACACCTTCACTCACTCACTCGCTCCCTCAAATTCTATTATGGATCATAGCGTGTATTAAGATAAAACTGTAGTATCGTGTGAAAGATATTTCAATATTTCGAACCTCAAAAACAGAATTTTAAATTCGTTCTTTTAACAGGATTGATAAACTAACAACCAAACTTATGACCTTAGTAAAAAATAAATTTAAAGTGTTTACATTATAGTACGTTGCCCAGAAAGAAAAAAAAGACTTTGGGAGTAAGCGATAGTTCAAAAATGAGTGGTTAAGTTTGTTATTCGAGGAAGAAGTAATACACTGAATTGACAATCCATAATCTCCACAAAAACCAGCAAATTGGGAGAGTAGTGAGAGCGCCTGAGTGTAGGCTTCCCGCTCAGCTTCTAAGCTCAGAGGTACGTATGAATGTCTACAAAATTATTTCTACACTAAGCGCAAGAGGTTAAATTATTTTGCCTCAATACTATTCCCACATTTATTTACAAAATTCATATTTTCCTATTTATAACAAACATTCTATGTTCTTAATCAAGTATTTTCAAAATCCATAAATTTTAAATTGTAAAATATTACGATTTTGAACACAGTTAAGAGAACTACATTGTTAGGTCGAATTACTAATAAATACATTTTTCTTAGAGGTTGAGATCTCTTCCATGTCTCGTTTTCTAATACGTTAAAATAGTTAATGTAAATTTACCAGTAAAATAATATTCGAATACTATTCCTCGATACTCTGGCTTACATCCCTTCTTAACACAGTCCATTTAGTCCCTAGTTAAATTTAAAGAGAGTCAACGTGCTGCGCAGGAACAGATCCCTAATATGAAGAAAAAATACGTGTTTCTAGTGGAGACAACTTATTTCGGAGATTCCCTCTACAGACTCTTCGCTATGGTAAGTGTCGGCAATTTTCTATTCCAATATGTATATGCGGAAGGTTGACGATTGATACTAGAATGCAACACAGAAGAGAGGCCCGGACAAATCTAGAGTTATCGAATATGACATTCAGAAGCCTAAATATTTCGTCACTAGACCTGTCGGTATTCACCATAGTGGTACGGGCTTGGAGTGATCACCCCTAAGGAGCCCTAACGGCGGCAAGATGGAGAAGCCCCCGTCAGTAATGAAGCCCCGGTAATGAGTCTCCGCCCGCACGAGGACCTTGGCCGCTTTGGGTCCTCCCCGCCCGCCCCGCCCGCCCCTGCGCCTTCTTCCTTCCTTCCGGAGGCGCCCGCGGTGCGGCGGAAGCTGCGGGTTCAAGGCGCGCGTTTCCTCCGCCGCCGCAGCCGCAGGGGCCTTCTCGACGGCCGCCGTCGGAAGAGCAGAAGGCTTTCCAGGCACACGTCCACCCCTTCAGAAGCCGCCCGTGATGTAGTGGGATGACTGCTTGATTTTGTCTTTGAATACAGGGGATGAAATGCGGGTCGATCCATGTGGAATTGATGGGGGGGACAAAGCGGATTTTTCGCGGTAGGTTTTCTTGATGCGCTTCTGTTTTCCTTCACAAGCCACCTGTATTATAGTGGTATGAGTGTTTGGTTTTGTCTTTGGGTACCGGCTTGAAATCCGGACAGGGAATTGGTGAGGAACAAAGCGCGATCGAGGTAGGTTTTCGTAATGTGTTTTAGTTTTCCTTGCCTTTCATTCCTCGTTTAGTCTATCATTACAAATATCGTAGTGCCGTAATTACAAATCCAACAAAATGAATCATCCACTCCAAGGATAGAAAAATAAGAAATAGTCACATCATACAAGAATACCTACGTAGTGAAAGCGTTAAGCATGGTTTATGCGTAATTTTTTGTCGTTATTCAAGTATGTTCTGCTTGTAGACCAATGTTAGCATCGCATTGTTTGCGCATCTGTATTGAATCACGTCTTTTTGCGAGTTCCAGACACATCACTAAGCTTATACACAACGTCCAACTTGCTCTCTACACACGTTTTCTTTAACAGATTCGGTATCATTAATCAACTCTGAGGACAAAACGTTACCTGAAGACTAACCTTTATAGAAAAATTGTAGTTAAACGTGGTTCAGACAATCGTGAAGTCTATCTTCAAGAAGTTCAAATTTCAGAACGGGAAAGAATTTATTTGAAACCTCTGTTTACAACGGATTCTTATATTTACCTCTCTCAACTTTGGCTAAATTTTCTCTTTTTATGTATAGAAATATACATCACTCTATCACCTGTAAGTATGAAGATGAAAAGCTTAGTTGAACCATTTCTGTTGCTTTAATTTCTTTCGGCCTAATAGAAAAGAATTACAATAGACAACTATACTACAATAAACTACAATAGACAACTTTTCAAAAATATTGGTCAACAACGTACTACATCCTCTTAAATGCCGAAACTTGCTTAAATTAAATCTTGTTAGGGATTCTAGTATAAGAAACAAAGCTATTATCAAACACTTCAAAGTACTAGGTAAGTGATGATGATATTGCTACTTCTGAAAATATTGAACCGACGTATACATATAGCAAGTAATACGTCGTGTATCACCTTCAAAAATTCCAGGAGTCAATAGATTCGGATTAATTTTGTTTCTAGTTATATATATATATATATATA